CGTTCTCGGGAAGGCTCTCCTCACATAGTGGCAGAAATGATTCCAGAAAAAGACCCAAGACTGACATTGATTGGTGCGACTTCCACTCCTGGACCACTTATAATGGACAAGCACAAAACCTAGATCAACTAATCCAGTCCCTGGAGTGGATTCTATTCTGAAGAATAAAGAAGGAATCTTGAAATGGGGGTTGACATGGTCAGATCTGTGCATTAGGGAGGAGGAGTCTGGCTAAGGGACAAGGATTGGGGTCAGTGGAAGAGACTGGAATTAGGGAGACTTGCTAGCAGGCCCTTGGAATCATTCTGGCCAGAAGCGAGGAGGGGTTGAACTGGGGTGATGGCAGTCGGATGGAGGATGGACTGGCCAGGAAAGACAATGGTGAAGGTAGAGTGTATGTGAGTTCGTGGTTGATTAGCAGTGTTGGGAAAGAAAGAAGGATTTTTGTTTATTGAATGTTGGGCCCTGTGCTGGGGAAATAAAACTCAGTCTGGTGGAAGCGTTGGACCTATAAACAATTGTTATCCAATATATGAATTACCATGATAGAGGAATGCACCATGGGTCACTAGCACAGGGGAGAAAAGAAACCACTCTAGGAGTGGCTGGGCAGGGAGGGGGTGTAAGGGAAGGCTTCACAGAGAAGGGAGTCTTGACCTGAGTCTTAAAGGATAAGTAAGGTACAAAAGAGCTTTGGTAACACAAATAAGAGATTTCAGGCCTATGCCAAGGGCAAAGAAGAGAGTCCAAAAAATTGTTGGCCAGAAAAACCACATCCAAACCAAAGACATATTTAGTTTTGCTCATATAACATTTTTAGACATTTTTGAATTAGCTGCCAACATTGAAAGATCTGGAGCTTTCATATAAAAATCCGTATTTCTAACTTGTCCTGAAAAATCAGGTTTAGCTTCCCAGGGACCCCATTCCTGAGTGGTGACAGAGGGCAAGTGTAGCCACAGCCCCTCCATGCCCTCTTGTAATTCGCCTGGCCCACATCAACTATTCATATTACCTGCCCAGTCCTCTGCATCCCATTAGGATGGCTGCAAACTCTAACTCTCCGCATCAAAAGGAGTCAATTTCTCTTCCCCTGGAATCTGGGTTGGTCATGTGACTGCTTAACCAGTAGAATGTAGTAGAAGGACCCTTGTGCATCACCTGGCTTACCATCTTGGAGCGCTCTCTCTTGGCAAGCTCCCTCTCAAAATCCTAGAATAATGAGAGAGTCTAACACTCAACACACACTTAACACTAATAGCATTAAGTCGCAAAGTTTTGGAGTAGTTTACTCTGCAACAGGTAATTGAACCAGCCACCTCCTCTCTTCCCCTTGTAGACATCTGAGGGTCCAGCCTCTGGACCAGAGGAGTGAGGGAGCATATTGAGTTTGGGTGATGAATAACAAGGCCAGGCGGGGAAGATCAGGAAGGGCTTTGCACACCATGCTGGGTGGGGGGTGGGTGTTTCAGCTTTTTTTGCTTGAGGAGCTGGTAGGGTTTTGTAGGGTAGGCATATTATGATCAGGAAGGGCGTAAATGTCCTTAAAGAGGAAGCTGAGGATGGTCACTAGTGAGAGAACTAGTGCAATGGTCCAAGCAACACAACTCAACTCAGGCAGGGGTCTGGGCACAGAGTTGAAAGGGAGAGATTCAAGGTCAAGACTTCTTCCTCTGGGAGGCCCTCCCTGATATGCAGGTTGAGCCCTCCAGTTGGCAGTCAGCACTAGGGAGCAGAGGCAGCAGGCTTGGGCCACAGAGACAGATGGGGGATTGTCCACGTTTGTAGTTGAAGCTATAGCTATGGATGAGATATTGGGAGGGAGTTGGGAGCCAGGAGAAAAAGGGGAGTCCTGGGAGCACCTTGCAAGCTAAGCAAAGGGAACAGCTCTGCAGGGGTTGGAGAGAGAAAGCTGCAGAGCAAAGCAGAGAAGCAGGAGAGGGACCCCAAGGGAAGATTTCAGAGGGAGGGGTAGTCAGGGGCATCAGATGACCCCTGAAACATTTGATTTCATGATTAGGAGGTTATCGGTGGCCTTGGTGAGGGCAAGTCTGTCTGATGGTGGGAACCAGAGCCAGACTCAGGTAGGTGGAGGAGTAAGTAGGAGATGAGGAAGTGAGGGCAGTGAGTGTAAACAGCTTTTTCATGACACTTGATGGTGAAGGACCTAGGGAAGGTGAAGAGTGAGCTAGGGAAGTGGTTTGAGGCTGCCAAGTTGAGAGAGGTTCCCCCAAAGGCACAGGGCACTTAACCTTGTTTGTACACATCCAAGAGAGAGGGTCTGTGGAGAGTAGAACTTGGCAGTGCAGGGGAAAGGAGGTGAGGGACAGAGTGAGGTCACTGGGGACATACAATGTGTCCCGAGAAGGAGGAGTCAGCCTAGGCCCCAGTAGGACATCTCCGTGATTACAGTCTGTGGCTATTTACAGGGACCAGAGGTGCTGTTGCTGGTGGGAGCGGAGGGGCTGAAAGAGTTCTCACCTCTTTTCTCCATAAAATAGGAGTGATGATCATCTCACAAATGTGAGGAAGGCAGCCTGAGCAGACGGCCAGCCAGAAGTGTCTGGCAAGGTTGGCTTGAGGCCTGAGCCATGGAAACAACATCCTTATATGTCTCCTGCCAGGATTGGTTCTCGAATGTGGGTGAGGGCTGAGCCTTCAGGCAGCTGGAGGACCAGCTGCGAGGAGGCCTGGGGGCCACAGGAGCAAGGGACCAGGCTATCAGAGGGACCCCAACACACGAGACCCCGTCACTGCTTTGCTTAGAGACTTGTGTGCGCTTCTCCTTGTCTTAGGAACAAACTCCTTGAGAAGAGATCTGCCTCTTGCTAATCCTCCCAGCTCTACCACCTTCTGCTTCACCCCAGGCACTGGAGGCTCTAGCCGTGGCAAAGAGCTCACCATTCCCTAAAATGTCCTTGTCTCTTCCTTGCCTTTACTGGAATTGCTTTCCCTCCTCTCCCCCACCTTCTCTGCTTGGCAAACTTTTATTCAAGACCCAGTTTTAATGTGACATCATTCATCCATTCCACCACCTGTGGAGTGTCCACCATGCTTTGTCCCTAGCTTGCCATCCCGACTGCACTCCAGTTTGAATGGACTCCTGGGTTCCAGAGTCAGGCAGCTTTGTATTTGAATCCCAGTTTGTGTGACCTTGGGCAGGTCATTTATCTTCTCCGAGCCTCAATTTCATCATCGAGAGAAGAGGGACAGTAAAATAGCTCACAGGGCTCCTGAGACCCCAGGGGTGGAATGTTAGTGCTGCACCAGGGACCTAGTGTGCCTGGAACAGTCAGGACTCTTGGTTGTAGGGACCTGAGCCTGGGTGGCTCATTCAGTTAAGCGTCCTGGGATAGACTCCCACATTGGGCTCCTTGCTCAGCAGGGAGTCTGCTTCTCTCTCTTCCTCTGCCTCTCCCCCCTGCTTGTGCTCTCTCTCTCTGGCAAATAAATAAATAAAATCTTTAAAAAAAAAGGACTCTTGGTTGTAAAGTAACAGAAGCTAATTTTAAAAATCTCCTTTTACAGTTGATTTGTTTGAATCAGGATCCAAAGAAAGCCCAAATATGACAGTTGATTGATTTTTTAAAGATTTTATTTTATTTTATTTATTTGGCAGAGAGAGAGAGAGGGAGGGAAAGAGAGAATAAGCAGGGGCAGCAGCAGAGGGAGAGGGAGAAGTGGGCTCCCTGCTGAGCAGGGAGCCCAGTGAGGGGCTCCATCCTAGGACCCTGGAATCATGACCTGAGCTGAAGGCAGATGCTCAACTGCCTGAGCCACCCAGGTGCCCTGATTGATATATTTAAAGACTCTTACTGTTTTCCCTCTTTTTCTTTTAATGACATTTATTTATTGAAACTGCGTAATTTGTCCTATAAAATTTTCACACATTTCTAGATTCACACATTTTCATAGTCTAGATTTATGCAGTTGCTTCCTCATGGTGTTATTTAACCTGTTCTTCTATCCCCCTTGTTTCATACAAACTAATAGAGCTAGAGGCTTGATTAGATTCAAGATTCTGGTGATCATTGTAATGATGATTTTGGTAAGAATCCTACAAAGGTGCTACTACGTGCTTATTGCATCATTTTATAGGAGATACATAATATCTGGTTGTCCTACTTTTAGTGATGTTAAGATTGATGGCTGAGCCCTTTTTTTTTAGGCAATCATGTAAAGGAGAACATAAATTATTGCTAACTTTTTTTAGGTGTAATTATGTATTACATAAGGGTATTGTGAACTCAAAACATGCTTAGTGGAAAAAAAACAGACCTATACTGTATGCTTTCATTTGTACGGAAAATTCTATACTGACAAAAAGCGGATCAGTGGTTTCCTGGGGCTAAGGATAAGGATCGGTTATAGATGGGCATAAGGGAACTTTTAGGGGAGATGGAAATATTTCATATCTTGATTATGGTGCTTATTAGTTGGGTATATACATTTGTCAAAACTAATGGAACCATGCACTTAAAAAGAGTGTGGTTTATTGTATGGGAAGAAAGATGTATTTTATTGTAAATAAAGGTGATTTTAGAAGGAAATGAAACAAGGTTACAACTAGAATAAGAAGAATCCCTTCAAAATGGCCACAAAACCATAATATGCCTATGGGGGAAAATCTAATGATATATAAGACCTTTACAGAGAAAATTATAAGATTATATTAAAGAACATAACAAAAGACATAAATACGTGGACCAATAAACTACACACATGGATGGGAGTCTTAATATCATTCCTAAATTAATCTATAAAGTTAATTCAATTTTATTAAAAATTCTAAAAGGTTTTAAAGAAGTCTTTGTCTGTTAGAGGGGCATACTGAAGTTTTTCAGTTGAAATGCTATGATGTCTAGGATTTGTTTTAATAGATGCCAAGAAAATAATGTGGAAGAAGAAATGAATCAACAATGGCCACGTGTTGATAATTTTTGAAGCTGGGGGGTGGGTATGCATTCTAGAAAGTGACCAATATTGTGCATGGTTTACAGGTGAGGGAATATCCCTCTGCCCAGGCAGTAGGACATGGTGAAGCTGCAGTTCTCCGGGTCTGTCTGACTCCATCATGCTCCACAGCCTCTTGAGGGTGGTCCTGTCTCTCTCCATAGCGGATGTACCCATCAGGACTCTTTCAGTTGTAAGTGCCAGAAATCCAACTCAAACTTACTGGCCTATGTGGAAGAAGGAACCTATGTCTTATGTGACAGAAAGGCTAAGGGGTTCAGGCACAGCTTGATCCAGATACTCAAATGATGTCAAGAATATGTCAGTCTTCATATCTCACTTCTGCAGTTGTCTGTGTGGGCTGATTCTGGCCAACTTTTCCTATATGGTGACAAGATAGTCACTGCTAGTGCTGACCTTATAGTCTATCAGCTTACTAACCCCCAGGGGAAAGAGGGCTCTTTTTTCCTAGCAGCTCCAACGAATCTGCTTCTGATTACATAGCCTTGAACCAAGTGCCCATCCCTGAACCAAGCAAAAAAGATTGCTTTGACTGAGGAACTGTGGCCCTGTGCTCACCTTGGATCCCCTCTTGAACTTCAGGGACTGCCAGTGAGGAAAGGTTGATCCCCAAAGGAAAATCCAGATGCGGCCACCAGGAGAGAGGGTTTGGTAAGATGCTGGGCCAGCAGCACCCAACAGGTACACTATCCCAACGCCCCTCATTGGGAGCAGTCAGCCCCTTCTTAGATACAAGAGGAGGCTCATGCAGTACCTTCACCACCCATTGGACGCTCAGTCTTGTGTTCTATGGACATCTGCTTCCGGAGAAGCCAAAACATAACTTCCATCACTGGCCTCCCACAGTCCTCTGCGGCGGCCCCAAACCTGCCCGCCCCACCCCACACTGCAGACCCGCTGGGATGTGAAAGCAGCGTCTGCGCTTCCCAGCTTGTCCCTCTGCATGCCTGTCAGGCTTTTGCTTCTGGGCCAAGGTTTTCAGGTGTCTCGCCAACGCACTGGTCCTCTGCTGGGAAAGGAGGCGCTCCAGGATGGAAGGCAGTGTGAGCCTGTTTCCTCTGTAAAATGGAGGGGGTATCTGCCCCCTAGAGGAGTTGTGCGGATTAAAGGAGCGAGGCATATTCACAGCGCCGAGACAGTCCCCACACGGAGTAGATGCACAGTAAATGCCGCCTGTTATTCTTATCACTTCCAGTGGAGCCTATACATCCCAGTCCAGTCTGTTCTGGTCCAGCGGCAGGCCATCAGGAACACCACCACCCGCAGGCTCCTGTGATTGAATCGTGTGGAACACTTTTACATGCGTTGTCTCATTTGAGCCTTATCACTTTGCAGAGAGGGCAGGAGAGATCATATTTATCCCCCATTTACAGATGAAGAAACTGAGGTTCAGAGAGGTTAGACTTCATGGCCAAGAGCATGCAGCCAGTCAGTGGTGGCGGTGGGATGTGAACCAGTCCCTTGAAGAATCACATTATTGGGCCTTTGCTCAGCTGCCCCTCAGCCCACAGGGCCTCCACCAGTGATGCCCGTTGGCCCTCTCTCATCTTCTCAGGTCCAGCCACAATACCTGGTAAATAGTAATAATGGGGGGGGGGGTGGCGCCTGGGTGGCTCAGTCGTTAAGCGTCTGCCTTCGGCTCATGTCATGATCCCAGTGTCCTGGGATCGAGCCCCCCATTGGGCTCCCTGCTCCTCAGGAAGCCTGCTTCTCCCTCTCCCACTGCCCCTGCTTGTGTTCCCTCTCTCGCTATGTCTCTCTCTGTGAAATAAATAAATAAAATCTTAAAAAAAATTGTAACAATGGGGAGAGCCAACATTTATTAAGCACTTGCTACACTCCAAATGAGGTACATAAAGCTTTGCTTTCCCCATAACCTCTTGAGCTAGGCATGACTCGTACAGAGGGAGAAACTGAGGCTGAGGGAGGTTAAGTAGCCTGCCCAGGGTCACTCGGTAGTGTGACAGCCAGGAGCCAAACTTGGAAAGCAATCTGATTCTGGAGTCCACCTCTCTTACCCTGTGCATTGCGGTCCCCATGACGCCTTCTGCGAATCCAAGGATGACCATGGCGTCCTCCTTCCTCTTGAGTATGGAGTCTGGCTTCCTCCTCTGTTTTAGCATCCTTGGAGCCATCCTTGTGCTCTTCTTCCTCCAGGAGGCTGAGAGCTCTCTGCGGACAGGTACCCGACCCTGACTCATTGACCTCCGCCGCCCCTGTGATGCCAGAGTAATTCATTGGTTCCCTGTGAGGCAGGCGGGGTCGAAAGTGCTCTTGGATGAAGACATGAGATGGGAGAGGAGAAGTGACTCTCTCAAGGCCATCGTTTGTAAATGTAGGAGCCTGGACGAGACCCCAGGGCTCGGCTCTCTGTCCCCGGTCTGGGGGTGGGAGGCGGAAGGCAGCTCAGCCTTAGCTGGGGGTGGGCGTGGGGGCCCGATGGGCGCTCCTGTGAATGCCAGGGACAGGATGGTGAGTGGGCTGGGGGCGGACTGAAGGAGGGAAGAAGGAACAGGGTATTTTTGCATTTTGACATTACAAAAGTGCCGATTAGATTGTCAGCGACTGGCCGGCAGCATCTGTTTGGGTTCGGAGTTGGCAGGCGCGGCCGAGCTGGGCGGAGGGAGGGGCGGCCGCGCCTGGGGGGCGGGGGGAGGGGGGGCGGTGCCTCCGCCCGGAGAAGGGCTATCCCCTTTAAGAGCTCCGCCCAAAGGGGCGCTGCCACCCCTAAGGAGGCGGGCAGACGCCGCTTCTCATTCATTGTCTTGACAAGAGCATCCTCAGCGGGCTGTCTCTGGCTCCGCCGGCTCCTTCCTCCTCCTCCTCCTCCTCTCCCTCCTCCATTTGGGGGGTCACCCATCTCTCAGCAGCAGGTAAGCCTGGGTCCCCGGGGCAAGGGACCGGGCATCGCTGCCCTGGGCCACCTGTGGGGCAGGCGTGAGCTCGGCGGAAGCCGGCCGTGGGGGCGGACGGGCTGTCAGCGCGCCGCTGGGACAGGGGACAGAACCGTCCGCGCCGCGCGTGCAGGAGACTCGCCCGGGGGGGTTGTGCGTGGGAGGGTCCGTCTGCGTGTCCCGGGGCGCTGTGCACAGGCCGGGGTGAGGGACCACCGCAGCCAAGATGGAGGTGGGGGAGCCGGGGGCCTGGCTCGCGCCAGAACGGGCGTCGGGGTGGGGGTGGGGGTGGGGGCAGGGTGGGGTGAGCCGAGCAGCTGCCCTGAGCTTGGAGACAGGAAGGGGTTGAGAGCAAAACAAGAAAAGACCAAGTTCCCCTTTCCGCGGTTTCTGAGCCTGGTACCTGCGGTGGGGGAGGAGGCAGGGTGGGGCGATGTCTTCCTGCCCCCCAACCTCGGCTTTGGGGCTCCCCTCACCCCAGGCCCAGCTTTCTCACTTGGGACTGATCCACCTGCGCTGGACTGCTTCTCCACCTGCTCCTCACCTGCTTTCTGGGCAGGTGGACCCGGAGCCTCCTGAAGCCTCACAGGGCAGGCTGGGGCGGGGTGGGTGGGGGTTTGGGGGGCCAGCGAGATGGACCAGGGCCAAAGGCAGTCTAAGGGGCGAAGCTGGAGAGGTGGGGTAGAGGCCTGGGAGGGTGCCCTCTGAGTGGGCGGCATGGCCCCTACACGGGGCAGGAAGGGGATGCACTTGGGTGTCAGGATGGGGCCTGGAGCCTGGGGAGCCGGAGGCAATCCCCGCACTTTCAATTGCTCTCCACCCAGCCAGATGGGGGAAACCATCCTCAGGGACCCCAGAGAAGTCAGCGCCGCCTCTCCCCTCCCGTGCATAGTTCCACAGCGGGTGGAGATGGCACTTAAGGGCACCTGCTTAGGCAGACTCGAGAGGCAGAGGTGTGGGGAGGAGAGAGTGGGACCCAAGCCATCTGCCTGTTTCTGGAGCCCAGAGACCTGCCTCCTGGGCAGGCCCACATGCTGCTTCTCTCTGGATGCCCAGCCCTGTGCAGAAGGTGAGGGAGGCCCCTGCCCCTGCCTTCAGGATGCTCCCCATGTGGGTATGAAGGATGTGAGGTGTGGTTGTTGTGCCTGACTGAACCCACCCTCCAGGCTGTCGCCACCGAGGCCCCCAGAGGGTGGGAGTGTGAGCCATTGGAGAGGAGGGACTGAGTCTGGCAGCAGTCGACAGATCAGCCCTTGGTGCTACCCCACACCGGGCTCTGCCCTAGAGGCTGAGGGTACAGATGCAAGGCCTGGGGTGGGCAGAGAAGGTGGGCCTTGCTGGTTGGCCAGGAGTGAGAAGGGGTGAGGAGGGCGAGCAAGAGGGAGACAGGATGGCAGTGCCGGATGAGGGGGCAAGGGAGCCCAGGGAGCCCAGGGAGCTGGTGCTGGGGAAGTTAGCTGAGACCTTTAACACCAGCTGAGGGGGTGTCCTGGGGGACACGGGGGACACTCTAAGGTCAGAGTCGACCAAAGGGAGAAAAGCCCTCAAATCCACGTGTCCCCCCAGGATGAGCCGGCAGGTGGTCCGCTCCAGCAAGTTCCGCCACGTGTTTGGACAGCCAGCCAAGGCCGACCAGTGCTATGAGGACGTGCGCGTCTCACAGACCACCTGGGACAGTGGCTTCTGTGCTGTCAACCCCAAGTTCGTGGCCCTGATCTGCGAGGCCAGTGGGGGAGGGGCCTTCCTGGTGCTTCCCCTGGGCAAGGTGAGCCCCTAGAGCCCTTGGGGCAGCGGTCTTCCACTTGAGGGGGCTTCTGGTCCTCCAGTGGCCCCGCGGGGGTCCTGATTAGGTGACTGTCACCAAGCCTTCTTGGGCTGCAGCGCTGTCAGCTGTAAAACTGAGCTGGGCCACATGAGCCTTCCGCCTCCTCCAGCTCCTACGTGCAGTGGTCTCGTGGAAACTGAAGCTCAGGTGACACCAGAAAGGTCACACAGCGAGTCCTGCAGACCCGGGGCCTCCTCCCCTCCGGAGCACAGAGAGGGCTCCTTGGGGTCCGGGCAGACCCAGCGGTGCTCTCAGGGTGGGAGGGGCTCTGGGCCTGGGCAGCCCCCCCCCCCATCTGAGCCCCAGGGAGACCCTCCCGGCCCCCGGCTGCGGGCAGGGAGAATGTAAGAGGCCCTCTCCCCTCCCCCAGACCTGCCTCCCCTCTGCTCCTGCTCGCACCCCCCTTTCGCTCTGCTGACCCCCACCCCCAGCACACTCCTGTGCTCTTGGGGGGTGAGACAGGAAGGGGAGATGGGCCCTAAGTTGTTACCTTAAAAGGGCCGATGGAAGCCAAGAGAAGAGGAAGTGGTTGTGGGGCGAGAGCTGCACACTCTTCACACAGGAAGCCCTGCGGCAGCAGCTGTCCCCGGAAGCGGCCATTTCCAAACCTCTGCTCCTGCCTGGGGCCAGTTAGGACAGACTTCCCCGGTCCCTATCCTGTTGGAAGCACCCCTGCCCATCCCCACACTTCCCTGGGGAACCCTAACCTGAATACGACCTCTCCCACCCAGGGCCTTGGCCTCTCATCCCCAGGAAAGCCTCCGTTGGGGAAGCTGGGGTGGGAGTGCCGGCCCCAGGGCATTGGTGAGAAGGGGGTGGGGGGCAGAGATGTCAGGACCTTGGTCAGGGTCTGCCAGTGAGGCAGGACCAGGGCCCAGTGCGCCCCCTGGTACCCAGCCCCGTAGCCCCGTCCTGCATTACCTGTGGCCAGTCCTTCTGAGATGCCCAGACACCTCTGGGCCTGGGGCAGAGGACCAAACCCTCCTGCCCTAGGCCCCCAGCTCCACCTCGCAGGGAGCCCACTGCCTTCCTCTCTGTGCCTCGCTGAAGGGGTGCGTGTGTGGGGGGGCTGGATCAGGTTGGGAGAGCAAAAGTCCCTCCCTCAGAGGCCCTGCTGTGCCCCCTAGACTGGACGTGTGGACAAGAACGTGCCCACGGTCTGTGGCCACACAGCCCCCGTGCTGGACATCGCCTGGTGCCCGCACAATGATCACGTCATTGCCAGTGGCTCTGAGGACTGCACAGTCATGGTGAGTGGCGGGGGAGGGGGCACGAGGGCCGGGGAAGCTCCAGCACTGGGTCTGCCGCAGGGAGCCCCCAAGTCTCACTGGCCCCTTCTCTGCAGGTGTGGGAGATCCCTGACGGGGGCCTGATGCTGCCCCTGCGGGAGCCCGTCGTCACCCTGGAGGGCCACACCAAGCGCGTGGGCATTGTGGTGTGGCACCCCACAGCCCAGAACGTGCTGCTCAGTGCAGGTGCCTGGGGGAGGGGTGGAGGGAGGGGGAGAGGGGTAGGCCGGTCGTCCGACAGCAAGGGAGGGAGGCTCAGGGCTTCTAACACTGGGGCTATCACCCAGGTTGTGACAACGTGATCCTGGTGTGGGACGTGGGCACTGGGGCAGCCGTGTTGACGCTCGGCTCCGACGTGCACCCGGACACAATCTACAGCGTGGACTGGAGCCGAGACGGCGCCCTCATCTGCACCTCCTGCCGTGACAAGCGCGTGCGCATCATTGAGCCCCGCAAAGGCACCATTGTTGCTGTGAGTGGCCCTGAATCATGACCCTTGACCCTAGGAACTTTGCCCTCCCACGCACCATCTGCCAGGTCCCTGGACGCTACCCCTGTTGCCCTCGGCTGAGTCTGGTGCTTAGGATGTGTGTGTGGGTACCTGACTGGCCACCTCCCTTTCCTTCCAGGAGAAGGACCGTCCCCATGAGGGGACCCGGCCTGTGCGTGCAGTCTTTGTATCTGATGGAAAGATCCTGACCACAGGCTTCAGCCGCATGAGTGAGCGGCAGGTGGCGCTGTGGGACACGGTGAGTGCCGGGTAGGGGGGAGCAGAGATGGGCTCATAGTCCCTGCCCTGCCACTTGCCTGATCACAGAGAGCCACAGGCCTCAGTTTACCCTCTGTGGGATGGGGGTCTCCACTGGCTGTTCTGTGAGGGCCCTCCCCGAGTCCCCGCCCAGTAGGCTCTTGCCAGGCCCAACTTGGCCCAGCTCATTTTTCCCTGTCTCCCCAATCCCTGCAGAAGCACTTGGAGGAGCCACTGTCCCTCCAGGAACTGGACACCAGCAGCGGCGTCCTGCTGCCCTTCTTCGACCCCGACACCAACATAGTCTACCTCTGTGGCAAGGTGTCCCAGTGGGGCAGGGGCTCGCGGGCGGGAGGTGGCGGCGGGGGGGGGGGGGGGGGGGCTTGGAGAGGACCCAACTGCAGGACTGTGTGGTGCTGATCCCCGCATTTGCACCCACCACCTGCAGGGTGACAGCTCTATCCGGTACTTCGAGATCACTTCCGAGGCCCCCTTCCTGCACTATCTCTCCATGTTCAGTTCCAAGGAGTCCCAGCGGGGCATGGGCTACATGCCCAAACGTGGCCTGGAGGTGAACAAGTGTGAGATTGCCAGGTGACTGCCCCCTGACCCTGACCCGAGCATGCTCCCTGGGCAGTGCTGACCCCACGCGGACCTTCGGTTCCAGCCCAACCATGCCACGGGTGTTACTCACCTTCTTATTTCCACAGATTCTACAAGCTGCACGAGCGGAGGTGTGAGCCCATTGCCATGACAGTGCCTAGAAAGGTGATGCTCCCATGTCCCTTCCAGGGCCCCGGGCCAGGCACTGGCCTCGCACAGTTGCAGGGTGGTGGTATGGCCCGAGCACTCTCTTAACCAGCCTTGGCCTTGCCCACAGTCGGACCTGTTCCAGGAGGACCTTTACCCACCCACTGCAGGGCCCGATGCCGCCCTCACGGCCGAGGAGTGGCTGGGGGGCCGGGATGCTGGGCCCCTCCTCATCTCCCTCAAGGACGGCTACGTGCCTCCAAAGAGCCGCGAGCTGAGAGTTAACCGGGGCCTGGACACCGGGCGCAGGAAGACAGCACAGGAGGCCAGTGGGACCCCCAGCTCGGTGAGAAGTGCATGGGAATCTGGGAGTCAGGACAGGAAGACGCGTAGGGCAGGGGCTGCTACTGAGGCGGTTACTGTCCCACTGGAAGGAGGCTGGTGTTTGGGCTATCCTACACTCACGTCGGGGATCCTCTGCAGGGGGAGCAACCCTCTGGGGGCCAAGAGCGAGTAATCCTGAGGGCTCAGAAAGCACGATTCGGGTTTCTTGGCCTGCAGCTGTCTGGGCAGCAGCTGAGAGACAGTCCCTCACTCTGGGACCCTCCCCGGACAGAAGAGACCAGCCCCGGAGCTCTTGGCAGGGCGGGGCCGGGGGGGGGGGATGCCCGGGTGAGGGGAGCCCGGGCTGGAGCTGGGACTAACGCAGCACTGGACCCCCCAGGACGCCGTATCCCGGCTGGAGGAGGAGATGAGGAAGCTCCAGGCCACGGTGCAGGAGCTCCAACAGCGCCTGGAGAGGCTGGAGGAGACGGTCCAGGCCAAGTAGGGACCTTCGGGCCTCAGCAGGGGCCACAGCCTCACCTCCCTCCCACCATTTGCACCCTTCTCCTCAGGCCACGATGGCAGATACAAAATAATAATAAAATGGCTTTATTTTCTGGTACCTCTGACTCCGATGGCCACCTGGGTGCTGGGTCTGTTGAACTGACCTGCCCTCGAGCTGCCCCCTCGGTTGCCTTGATGAGATTCCTGCCCACGGCAGGAGTCGGCGGGGGGACACCTCTGAGCACCCCGGGACACAAGAACAGGCTGCGGTGGGTGGGAGCCGCCTCATGCTCGTGTGGGTTGAGCTGGCAGGGTCTGAGCTATGCAAGGCCCTTGGCTGGGGCCTCAGAAATAACCACGATGACTCAGAATTTGCCTTTCCTGGTCAACCACAGGTCGCTGCATGCGACTGTACTGTCACTGTCACTCGTGGGGAGACAGAACTCACATAACACTTAGACGGCCCTTATAGGACACGTTTCAAATTGCAAGCCCAAGGGAGCAAAATCAGGGGCTCTTTTGTGAGGCCAAAGCTTAGAACCGAACCCTGGTTTACAGGTGAGGACACAGAGGCACAGAGCAGGAGAGGGGCCCGTGGGAGGCAGACCTTGAGTCATGAGCCGTCCCCCCTTCTGGTTCCCAGTTCTCCTGCCGTGTTGCTGCCTCTCAGTCCCTCACTCTGGGACCCTCCCCAGATAGAAGAGACCAGTCAGGCCCTGTCAAGTGGGGGCTTAGAGGTGGGTGTCTGATGCCCAACTCTGTGGGGCTGGGGCAAGGTTGGCGGGACGGGTGTCCTGGCCACAGCAGAGCTCACCTCATACCACACAGGGACCACAGCAAGGACTAAGTGCCTCATTCACCAACCCTGGCTCCCGCACACAGGGAAAAAACATCTGCTTAGAGAGGCAGCTGCATGGACGTCCCTGTCGGCCCATCGGAGTCTCACCATGTGACCCTGGGCCAGTCACTTCTCTCCAGGCCTCAGGTGCTCTATAAGATGGGGAGGGAATAACATGGCAGCTCTGTGAATGCAGTGGGTGGATCCAATCAGGGGTGTGATAAAGAGAGAAGCAGAAAATCTGGAAGGTGGGCCTCTTAAAGCGACACCTTCCGGAGCCTCTCCTGCACAGCGGTGGTGACGTGGCCTCCTAGTGAAGTCGTACTTGAGTACATTCAGTCACTGGCTCTTCCCCTGGCCCAAGGGAACCGAGGAAAGTTCAGGAAAGGATCCCAGGAACCCAGAAGGGTTAATCTGTCATCGCCAGGACTTCCAGGTTCACTAGCCCGTTCTCCCTCTGACAGGAACAAGAGGGAGGTAGGAAGTGGGGATGGCTATTTAGGGGCCAAGAAACTGGCCCTGAAAAGGGGAGCAGAGTGGTGGGATGGTTGAAGACCAATCCTTCACCCCCAAAGAGCCCTGGCCCCATCTGGGTCACCTGCTACCCTCCTGGGTCCCAGGGACCGCATCTGTGGCAGGCCTTACCAATCCTGGCACCTGTGTTTAAGATTGATACTACAGGTATCATGTGCCCCAATTTTATGGCCCAGGTGGCCTTATTTTCCTGCTTTAACCCTATCCCTATCTCCTGCCCACAGCTCCATTCCTGACCCTCATGGTCTCCCCAGGGGTAACTGTGGCCACATGAAGCCCTGGGCTAGAGGGTCACTGGATTTTCTCCAGTGAACCGGACAACAGCATTCCAGGTGTCGCGGCATCCCTGCTGGGGTACCACCTCCCCTGAGACCCCGAGGGGCTGGGTAACCTGCAGGGAAGTGTTGGATCCTCTACTATGCCTCTGACATTAGGGTGATGTTGGGAAGTGGGGGAAGTTTGTTAAATTGGCCAGCACCCTGAAACCCTGGGTACTTTTCCATCTGTGCATCTTCAAAACTGGCAGAAGGCAGGACCCCCTGGTAACGGCCAATGAATAGCAGCAGTGTTCCTAGGGTTCGACCAAGAATTACAGAGAAGATCGGTGCTGCCTGCCCTGGAAGAGACTTTAAAGATAGAACTTTCATTTTATAAGTGGAGACACAGAGGCCTGTGTGTGAAGGACTTGTCCAAGGTAAGACAGTGGAGAGTGGTAGGGCAGGGAGAAACCAGGCTCTGGACTCAAGCTCAGCATCGCTCCCACACACAACACACTGACACAGAAGCTGGCCCTGATTCATAATTTAATGGCTGTGCAGGCCTTGGTCTCTTATTTCTGCTGCTCACGGGCCCACTGCTCTGGGGTCAGGGTTTTCTGCTCAAAGGCATGAATGTGCAGAAGCTCTTCCGCTAGGCACGTGTTCACCAGCCTGGGGGAGAGATGGGGTTAGGAAATGGAAGGCCGGGGCCTGAGTCGCGGCCTCAGAAGGTAGGGTGACCCAGGAGACTCCCCAAGTTGTGCCCCCGGGGCTTGGGAACCAAAGAGGCAGAGGGCCTAAGTCTCAATACAGGAGCCACGAAGGCGGGATCCTTGGGGCCGCGGTTCACGGTGTAGGGCCCCACCGGCGGGGATGAGGGAGTTAGGTTTCGGGGAGTGGCCAGGGTTGGGGTCCCATCCCTGGGATCGCGCTGAGCGAGGTATTCCCGAGGCCTCACCGGTGTCTCTGAAGCAGTGGCTTCCCCTCGAACTTGGCCGACACCACCAGGACTCGGAAGCTGGACGCGCAACGGTTGGGAGTCGTGTCCTCGACTTCCTATGGGGCAGAACGGTGGGGAGAGGGTGAAATCCGCCCCTCAGGCGCGCTTTTCCCCTCGCTGGGAGACTCCAGGCCGCGCAACGCACCACATGCTCTGCCTCCAGGTCCCGCTGCAGCTTCTCCCGAAGGTACTCGGCGCTGAGTTCCATTGCGGCAGCCCAGAAGGGGCGGCAGCCCAGCCGGGATGGAACCCCAGCTCCGACCCCAGCCACACTGCTTCCGCCCTTACTGACGCCACTTCCGCTGAGGCCTCTACTTCCGCCCTAAGGCGTCCGTAAACCAGGCACTTCCGCCCTCACGCAAGCCCAACTTTCCAACTGTCCTGGGTTTCCGCGCTTACCATCGGCCAGCCAATCAGAATCTGCACAAGGACGGATTCGGGCGCTAATAGGTGTCCGCCGCCTGCCTCGCAGCCTGGGTTCTGTGGGCCGATTTGGACACCCTACTTCAGTCAGGAGAGGGTGCGCGAACCTGCATTTGCTGCGGCCTCTAGGGTACCTCGCGATCGCCCCCAAACGCTTTTTCCGAGACAAGCATCTTGCGGCCCTGGCAGTTCAGCCCTCCCTGAGGTCACAGGTCGCAGCAATCAACCCACAAGTCCCGATGGGCCCTGCGGGGGACGCGGCGAGGCCCGGGCGCTTCTTCGGCGTCTACCTGCTCTACTGCCTGAACCCTCGGCACCGGGGTCGCGTCTACGTGGGGTTCACCGTCGACCCTGCTCGTCGGGTCCGGCAGCACAACGGGGGCCGCAAAAAAGGCGGGGCCTGGCGGACCAGCGGACGCGGGCCCTGGTAAGAGGGAGCGGATTTCTGTGTGGAGGAGGGCTTCAAGGAGGAGGCGGGGCTCGGAGGAGGAGAGGCCTGCCGAGAGGGGCAGGGCCAGGCCAGGCCAGTGGGCGGAGCCCGTGTGGTGGCCGATAACAGGGCCGAGGGGCGGGGTCCTGGCGACGAGGGCGGGCCTATCACAGGGGAGGTGCGTGGTTGGGGGGAAGGCGCGGGGTGGGGGAGGGAAGGCGGAGCCCTGTGAAACTCCGCTGTAGGATGAAGGAAGGGGTTGGGTAGGAAGGGGACTAATGATCTAGGCTTGGTCCGGTGACAGCAGGCTGATGAACAAGGCGGGGTTTGGTAAAGAGAGAGCCTGCAAGGGAGAGGAACTGAGGAGGGCAGTTAAGTACCTGTGCTGGAGGCGGGGCCTGAGGTTGGCAGGTGCGAAGGGACGTACCTCCACGAGGGGGGCGGAGCCTCGCGGACGTGGTTTGAAGCCGGGCGTGAGAACTCCACTCCCGGGTAGGACTGGGGGCGAACCATGGCGAGGGGATTCGGCTTGACACCGGCTGGGGTGGGCTCTCACGGGCCGCGTCCTCATTCTCGTCCCCAGGGAGATGGTGCTTATCGTGCACGGCTTCCCTTCCGCCGTGGCCGCCCTTCGGGTAAGAAAGGAGACGGGGGCGGTGGGAGGACGGGCTGGGGCTTGGGGCCTAACCCGGGCGGCCCTGAAGCCCCTACTCCCCGCCCGCAGTTCGAGTGGGCCTGGCAGCACCCGCACGCCTCGCGCCGCCTGGCGCACGTGGGCCCGCGCCTGCGCAGCGAGGCCGCCTTCGTTTTCCACCTGCGCGTGCTGGCGCACATGCTGCGCGCGCCGCCCTGGGCGCGCCTCCCGCTCACCGTGCGCTGGCTGCGCGCCGACTTCCGACGTGAGCTGTGCCCGCCGCCGCCGCCGCACATGCCGCTGGCCTTCGGGCCTCCGCCGCCCCGCGCCTCGGCGACGGGGCGCCGAGCCGGCCCCTTAGCTGACCCGGAGTCCGAACCCGACCAAGACGCCGAGGCCAGCTGCGCCCTGTGCGCGCGCTCCTTCCAGGTGAGCCACCCTACGCCGTCTCCAGGTCGCTGCGAACGACTTGGGATCCAGCTGTTTATTGAAGGATGGGGCGCCCCACTGACACCCTTTGCCCTCATCACTAAAATGGGGATGATAGTACTGGCTGCCATTCCTCGAAACCGGTACCCTCCTGCTCAGGGCCTTTACCCTTCCCCTTTGACTGGAAGGTTCCTCCCTAGACCTTCACTTCAGTCTTTATAAAATGCCACCTTCTCCTTCTCCATGAGGTCTTCCTTGGCTCTCCCGTCTAAGACTGCAGTTCTGGGGGCGCCTGGGTGGCTCAGTCGTTAAGCGTCTGCCTTCGGCTCAGGTCATGATCCCAGGCTCCTGGGATCGAGCCCCGCATCGGGCTCCCCGCTCAGCGGGAAGCCAGCTTCTCCCTCTCCTACTTCCCCCTGCTGTGTTCCCTCTCTCGCTGTCTCTCTCTCCGTGTCAAATAAATAAAATCGTTAAAAAAATAAAATAAAACTGCGGTTCTTTCTTGTACACTCCCCTGCCTTTTTTTCCCCCCTTAAAGCCTAAACACTTATTGTCGAACATAGTAGGTGTTTTATCTTATTGTCAGTTTCTCCCCTGCCCCAACAATACAAGGCAGTTCTTGTTCACTGCTGTAGAAAAGGATCTGGCAAGCAGCGGGTAGCCAATAAATATTTAACAAATTGGCTGAGCCTGATGGGCCTAACTTCTGAGCTCTGAGGAAATGTAAATTGAGTACTTGCCATTCAGAGATTAAGTGACCTGCCTGAGATCACTTCGCCTGTAAGAACTATAGGTCTGGCTGCAGTGGCCAATGCTGTTTATATAATCACTGCTAATGCTCAGGGGAGATTGGCTTAGCTTAGTGCCTGTGGGCAAGTGTTGTAACCTCGCCATGCCTCAGTTTCATCTATACAACACAAATAGTAGTATATACCTCATAGCGTTGTTTCATGTGAAGCCTCTGGAACAGTGTCTGGTCCATAGAAATTCTGAGTGTTAGCTACATCATTCCTCCTAGTTTTCTCTTTTACCTGCCTGCCACTTCTGACAGGATGAAGAGGGCCCCCTGTGCTGCCCCCACCCTGGCTGCCACCTAAGAGCCCACATGATCTGCCTAGCGGAGGAGTTCCTGCAAGAGGAGCCAGGGCAGCTTCTGCCCCTAGAGGGCCAGTGCCCGGGGTGAGTCCAACACCCCCACCCCAGCATGGTTGAGCTCTGGGAAGATGGTGCCGGTTGTCCAAGTTCAGGCCCCGGGGCAGCTGAGTCCTTATCTTGGCACCCAGGGCCTAGCCTGCAGGAGGCTTGTGATCCTGACTCTGTCTCCTACCAACTGCACCCTTGGTAGCTGTAAGAACTCACTGCTGTGGGGAGACCTGATCTGGCTGTGCCGGATGGGCGCCGAGGAGGAAGAGGAGGACTTGGAATTAGAAGAGGTGAGACGTGGCTTTGGCCCCAGCTTCCCTACCCCACCCCATACCCGAGGCTGCCTTTGACCAGTCCTCTTGTCTCCACAGGAACACTGGACAGACATGCTGGAGACCTGATCCTCAGCGCCCCCAACCCTCTGCCTCCCCTGTGGGTCTGGGCACTTTTTACTTGAGTACAATAAAGAGTCTGAGTTAAGGGAACTTTCTGGTGTTTGCTGGGGGGTGCCGGGGGTGGGGCAGCGCTGGAGCTAGGAGACAGAGGCCCTGCCAGTCACTGGGGCCTGAGGAGAAGAGCAGAGTGGGGAGGGACCACTCACTCGCCTGGACCAGGCTGTCCTCTTCCTGGAGGCCCATGTGCCTCAGCTTTCCCCTGCATGCTACTGACGTCACACAGTTCTTTGAGTGCTTGGGAGACTCACACCCTTGACTCAGAGCCCATCCAAATCCAGTGCCCAGCTTGACTTTGGACTTTAATCCAAACAGTAAGGACAGAGGCCAAAAGTGGGGTGGGTAGGGGTATACGCTACCCTATGGGGCCCTGTGGCTCTCTAAGCCCCAACTCCTTCTTGTCTCTGTCTGGGAGCCCCTTTAAACCCAGTGAAAGTGGGGCGCCTGGGTGGCTCAGTCGTTAAGCGTCTGCCTTCGGCTCAGGTCATGATCCCAGGGTCCTGGGATCGAGCCCCGCATCGGGCTCCCTGCTTGGTGGGAAGCCTGCTCTTCTCCCTTTCCCACTCCCCCTGCTTGTGTTCCTGCTCTCTCTCTCTGTCAAATAAATAAATAAAATCTTTAAAAAAAAATAAAGGGGCGCCTGGGTGGCTCAGTTGGTTAAGCGACTGCCTTCGGCTCAGGTCATGATCCTGGAGTCCCGGGATCGAGTCCCGCATCGGGCTCCCTGCTCAGCGGGGAGTCGGCTTCGCCCTCTGACCTTCCCCCCTCTCATGTGCTCTCTCTCTCAAACAAATAAATACAATCTTTATTTAAAAAATAAAATAAAATAAACCCAGTGAAAGAAAAGCACCTTGTGGGGGCCATGGTTCTGTCACCAATCATGAATGAGTCTCCATGAAATCCTCAGGAGCTGGACTCACTCCCAGGGTTATGAGACTCTGTGTTCTTGCCCTTTTGTCTCCCTGCTGCCTCAGAAAGCCTGCCCCACCTCTGCTCCGCCCCAACCCCAATCAACCAGCCCCCTTCCCCCCATTGCTCTGTACTGGCCCTGTCAGAGGTCAGACTAGCAGTTCTGGAATGCCAGCACTCCTAGAACATCAGTGGGGGCCACTCCCAGCCTGAACCTCTGGCATCTTCAAGACTGGCCTGGAGCCACAGGAAGGTGAATGGCCCTGCTCACGAGAGTGCCACCTTTCCTCCCCCACTCTAAACTGGCTGGCTCCATCAGAACAAGCTGTCGGGGGCGCCCAGGTGGCTCAGTCAGTTAAGCATCTGCCTTCGGCTCTGGTCATGATCCCGGGGTCCTGGGATGGAGCCCCGCATCGGGCTCCCTGCTCAGCAGAGAGCCTGCTTCTCCCTCTCCCTCTGCTGCTCCCCCTGCTTGCTCTCTCTCTCTCTGTGTGTCAAGTAAATAAATAAAATTAAAAAAAAAAAAAAAAAGAACAAGCTGTCAGTTGGCCTGCCCTGCAGGGGTGGAGTTCAGAGGGCAGGTCAGAAGCAAAGATTACAGCTCCCAAAACCCCCCAAAATAAAAGTGAAAACTTACTAGGCTCTTTTGTCTAGTTTCAGTCTTCCCTTTATTTTCTACACACCAAACCCACATCTTGGGTTTTCAGGCCAGTCTAAGCTTGGCTCCTGCTGGGGTGCTAAGGAGGGGAACACAGGAGGGTCCTCCCACTCTAAACTCCACCCTTTCCTTCCTGGAGGCTGGCTCCAGATCCCTCCCACTTTGGATTTAACAACCCGTCAGCTCAAGAGCAGTTCTGCACTCACCACACGGCACCCAGTAAGCCACAGCACCAAGAGAGGTCTGGTGAGTGCCCGGGGCGGGGGGGGTGGGCTGGGCAGGGCTAGCCCCTCTCTCTCTGCTGCTGCCAGAGTGGCATCCTTGCCCTTTCCCCCTGGATGGTCCATTTCAATCAGCCAACCACAACCCCGGCTGAAACCCCCTTCCCTCTTCCATTGACCCACCACTTTTGCTCATCCGCATACCAGACTCTGGCCCCCCCAAACAAGCTCAAGTTGTTCAGCTGGCTGTGTTTATCCCCGAGCCAAGACGGAGTGCGGTTTGGCAGGTGGGGCCGACCTTTGAAATGTTTGCATGCGTGAGGGGCCCACGTTGCTCAGAGGGACGGCCTGGAGAGCAGGCCGGTGCAGTAGGCCAGGAGCTGCCAGAAGTAGTGGGAGGAGGAGAACCGGCAGGCGCCGGAGTAGTAGTGCTCAAGTAACGCTCAAGTAGTGGAGTCTCCCGGAGCTTCCAGAAAAACCGGGATTGGGCCCCAGAGAGTGATTTAATTGGGTTGGGGTGTGGCTCAGGCACGGAGATCTTTATAAGCCCTGCAGGTAAAGCAAAGGTGCAGCCAGTGCCGTGACCCACTGCATGAGCGTTCTGTCTGGGTTTGAACCCCAGCTCCCACCACCCACTAGCTTTGTGAGCAGGGGCAAGTCAGCCGCAGTCCCTAGTCAGCCGCAGTCCCTCATCGTAAAGCAAGATTTCAACAGATGGCATGTTGTGATGTTAAGGCAAGTTGGCCGCACTCTGGCCCTTGACGCTGCAGCATGGAGCTCATCCAGGACACCTCGCGCCCGCCCCTGAAGTATGTGAAGGGGATCCCTCTCATCAAGTACTTTGCAGAGGCACTGGGGTCACTGCAGGACTTCCAAGCCCAGCCTGATGACCTGCTTATCAGTACCTACCCCAAATCTGGTAGGTGATGAGGGCCATCCACCCCTCTCCTGGGCCACAGTCCCCTATTTTGGACCAGCAGGGGGCTGCCCTCAGCCCTGCTCACCGACCCTTTCCCTGCTCTCCAGGCACCACCTGGGTGAGTGAGATCCTGGACATGATCTACCAAGGCGGTGATGTACAGAAGTGTCAAAGGGCCCCCATCTTCATGCGGGTACCCTTCCTTGAGTTCAAGGTTCCAGGGATTCCCACAGGTGTGTAGTGGGGCTCTGGGGACCAGTGGAGCAGAGGGAGGGGGCAGGACTGGGCTCCAGCTCAGCAGACTTTCCCTACCCATGGCATAGGTTTGGAGGTTCTGAAAGACATACCAGCTCCACGACTCATCAAGACACACCTGCCCTTGGCTCTGCTCCCCCAGACCTTGCTGGATCAGAAGGTCAAGGTGAATGGCAGAGGAAGCTAGGGAAGGAGGCTGCTGGGGCCATCCCAGCTTTGGCCCTATCTGCTGGGAAGGTCTCATCTTAGGGGAGGAGGCGGTCTGCTTCATCCTGTTGTGGGGGTCAGGGAACAGGAGACTCCTCTGGGGAGAGCTGAGAAAGGCAGTCTTCTCTGCAGGCCTCCCCAGGCCTGCAGAGGAGGGGGCTGGTGAGAATCTGGCACACCTTGTTCCCAATCTGGGTATGGCACCACTGAGGGGGATTAGCTGATCATAAAGTATGGTTCCAGGGACCACGAGCAAGTCAGCCGCTAAGCTTTATTACCCCCTTGGCCAGACCAAGAGCTAACGTCCCTCACAGGGATGCTGTGAAGGGTGGAACCACCTGGCTCGCTGTGTGGTGATGATGCTTGGGTGTGTGGGGGGGTCATCTGTCCCTCCAGGTGGTCTACATGGCCCGCAACGCAAAGGATGTGGCTGTCTCCTATTACCACTTCTACCGCATGGCCAAGGTGCACCCAGACCCTGACACCTGGGACAACTTCCTGGAGAAGTTCATGGCTGGGGAAGGTGGGGCCTGAATCTGGAGGAAGGAGCGGGGCGGAGCTGAGCGGCAGCCTGCCCAAACTAATACCAGCCCGTGTGTCCATGTCTCTGCCCCTCTGCCCAGTGTCCTATGGGTCCTGGTATCAGCATGTGCGGGAGTGGTGGGAGCTGAGCCACACCCACCCCATGCTCTATCTCTTCTACGAGGACATGAAAGAGGTGAGGCCGCCTGCTGCTGCTTCCCTCCAAGTCACCCGTGGAGAAGCAGGAACCTGCCAGGGACCTGCCAAGGCTCTCTTGGCCGCCTGCCCTCCGGCAGCCCCACACCAGTCCCCCGGGCCCCCCAACCCGCCTTCCTGCCCAGGGCTTGGAGCCGCAGCGTCTCCCAGGCAGCAAGGCCATATAGCTCTGATCTCAGACCCGACACAGAGCCATCCGCCAGCATTCTCTGCTGTTGCTCTCCCTGCAGCCACAGTTACGAAAGAGGAGCGGCCATGCGCTCACCCATCAGGACCCAAACAAGAGCTTATTTCAGGGTCACAGGGCAGGGGCAACTAATGTGCCCCAGGGAAAGAGGACCCAAGTCAAGGAGGTGGGGCTGAGAGGTCTCTAGGCGGAAATGGCCAGATCCCCGAGGAGTTAGGGGGGGCCCTCTCTTTGGTTTGCTCAGTGAGCAATCCCAATGTCCACTAAAGAGCCCCTCTGCTGCTCCAGAATCCCAAAAGGGAGATTCAGAAGATCCTGAAGTTTGTGGGGCGTTCCCTGCCAGACGAGACCGTGGATCTCATCGTCCAGCACACATCTTTCAAGGAGATGAAGAACAACTCCAAGGCTAACTACAGCACCATACCCCTTCACGTCATGGACCACAGCATTTCGGCCTTCATGAGGAAAGGTGAGTGCCCGTGCAAGACGGGCACCTGGGGAGGCAAGCGTGGACGCGGCGGCAAGGGCTGGCCTGAGCCACCCTGGGCCTGCTCTGTGGCTGGGGCCTGCAGCCGTCCTCCCCTCTGTCCACAGGCATCTCGGGGGACTGGAAGACCACCTTCACTGTGGCCCAGAATGAGCGCTTTGATGCCGACTATGCCAAGAAGATGGAGGGCTGCGGCCTCAGCTTCCGCACCCAGCTGTGAGTGGTGCTCCCTGGGAGGCACGCCGAAGACCCCACTGCGGTGACCTGCCCCCAGCCTCAAAAATAAAATTCCATGTGTATTACACTGAGAGTCTTTAATGCAGGCAAAGAGCAAACCTGAGCTAAAAGGAAATGCCCACTGGGACCAAATGAAGCCATCTCCCCTGTGGCCTCCAATTCCCCAACTTGCCCTGTTATGGGGAAGGGGAGAAGGGCCTGGAAAAATAAAACCAAGGAGACGCAGGCAAAGGGGAACAATATTTATTTGCCACAAAACCTTTTGTTGCATTCCCCTGTGAAGGTGGAAGGAGACTGTGAGTCTGCCAGCCCACTTCACTTTTTCTTGGGCTCCTTACAAGCCACCACGTACCTCTGGGCCACATTGAGGGGAGGGGAGTAACCATCTGCATAGGAGGTGTCTTCAAACAGGACTGAATAGTCATCCTGGGGCTGGGACAGGGGAAGACATGAGGGGCTGGTCAGAGACCCCCCAGCAGGAACCCCAGCCCAGACTGATGGGAACCTCTGGTCCACGGGCTCACAGCCTCTCCTGTCCCCATCTTCACTCTGAACCCAGTCCCTGCTACGGCAGAGCCCTTTTCTCAGCAACGAAGGGCCAGGGCACAAAGAGCAGGGAGGAGAGAGACCTGCTGTCTATGTGGGAGGATTCTACGTGGAGGATCTGGTGCCTTTTGGGGACACTGTGTTAAGGGGATCGAGGAAAACGCAGAGGGCAGCAGGCAGGGCTCCTGGAGGAAGAGGGGAGAACAGCCTTGAAGCTGCCATCAGGTAACGGGTCACCAGCATGAGGGAGCACAGCCCCACACGAAGGAAGGGCAGTGGTGCAACAGTCAAGGTTGGAGGACAGGCCCCGGGTGTGGTGCTGCATGTCTCAGTGCAAAAGTGAGGTGAGACCAGAGGGTACATCGGTCCCACTCCATGCGGGGCTGGCTAGAACTCTGAAGGTTGGAGAGGGGGTTGGCTGGCACTGCCCAAGGGGACAGGGCTGCAGGGCACCTACAGGGCAGAGTGTAAGCAGGAGAGAGAGGGCAACACGTAGGACTCTCCCAGCTCAGAGAGGCTAGACGATGAAGACAGGAGGGGAAGGAAGGGGAAGGTGACCCCATGACCCATCCGCTCAGCCCAGTGCCGGCGTCATGGTCTGCCTCTCCCGTGGGGGCTGCCTTACCCGTTGTGGGGGCGTGTGGATCAGGGCACGGTAGAAGCAGGTGGTCTGGGGATACAGGGCCAGCACGAGCTGCTCCTTCTGAAATAAGGCTTCAGGATCCGTCTCCGGGTTGGCTTTCCACTGGGGAAGTGGGATGATGCGCCGCCGGCTCAAGGTATGTCTCCTGGAAGGGGGGGGCTCAGGTCAACCCACGCCAGGTGGGGGGCTCCTTTCCAGCCACTGGTCCCTCCCTGACCAGCACACTCACTCTTTGCCTTCTTCATCAATGTCATCTACCTCGTACCTGGCAAACAAAGAGAAAACGGCGGATGCAGGGAGGTGCACGGTCCAAATCAGGAGGCGACGAGGAGGGGCGGGGTGGGGTGTGGGGAGGGGAAGCAGCCCAGGGAGCCCGAGTCACACACCGTCCCCGTCTCCGCAGGCACCCTGGGGAGGCTCTTCTCCCAGCCTGCAGACGGGGGAGAGGGGTGGCCGGCACAGGTGTAGCGGGAGAGCAGACCGAGGGCTGGGTGTCCACTCACTTGTTGGTGGCATGGCTGTAACTGACCACCTCGGCCAGGATCCACTGCTCATCCCCATCCACAGCCTTTACCCGGGCGGCCACCTTGTCTCCAGGTTTGGCCACGTAGTCCCCAGAGGCTGGAATGGCCCCGCAGAGGGGTGGGGGCCTGAGGGTTGGAATAAGGTGTTAGTCCCAGCCCTTCCCTCTTGACAGCTCCCCCCACCCCGGGCCTGCCCTCACTTGTCACCAGGCTTCCCGATCCATAGGGGCAGGGTCATGGCGGACTGCTGCAGCAGGGTCATCAGCACCCCCCTGCGCATGGTCTTCCGAGGGGGCTCCGAGTCATTGTACAGGCCCGCAATCTTGGCCGCTGTGGGAAGGAAGCGCGCCCCTGAGGCACCAGGGACAGGGCACTGGTGCACAGAGCGGTCAGTGGAGCTTGGCCTGGAACCCACCTCCCGAACGACCACCAAGGGCCCAGTGTGACCCCTGCCCTCCCACCAGATTCCCGCGGTAAGAGTTCCGGGCTGCTCTCACAGAGGGCACCAAGGGCAAAAGAAGGGTTCTGAGGTGCTGGTCATATTCGTTTGTTTGGTTAGCCAAAATTTCAGCTGTCTGTAGGCTTATGGGTACTTTTCTACTAGGAGTATATGCTGTCATTCAACAACAAAAAAAAACTAGAAGAACTGTCAAACGTGGACTCCTAACCTCCTTAGGCATGGCTCAACACACCCAGTCAACATCGCGCAAACCCAACTGGCAGTGAGACATGTCTGATGGGCAAGCTGTCTGCCCACTAAGGGTTCACTGAAGGGGTAAGAGATGGGAGAGCCACGGCAGTCTGAAGGGATTCGGAAGCCAACACCTTGTGTAAACTCCATCTGAAGGATGGCTCTCCCAAAGCAGCTGGTGCTTCCCACGGCAAGAGGTGGGGGTGAGAGGTAGCAGGAAGGGGGCAACTGCCCCAGGCGCAAGGGGGAGAGAAGCATGAGGGGGTGGGGTGAAATCTTCCAGGTCTGCACAGGGACACTGGGAGCCCCTGCCTCTGAGCGCTGGCCAGGACCTCCATTCCCTCCCAGACCCAGGCTGCCCAGATGTACGCCCCCGTCAGAAGTCCATGGAACGAGCACACCGGGCTGTGGCAACAGGCCCCCCACCCCTGCAGGGAGCCACAAATGCTGGTCTCAGGAAGCCTCACTCGACCTGGTCAAGAAGCGTCAAGCTTGTCTCCAACTCACCAATCCGCCTTTCTTCCAACAGAGACTTGATTTCCGCTATCTTATCTAGAGCTTTCCGGAGTATGCTGAAGGTGGGGAGAAGGAAGAGGTCTGATGAAGCCCAAAGCACAGACTTCCTTTTCTGCTACAGCAGGCTGGGTAACTCAGACCAGCCCTACTGCCGAAAACTGTAAGCCGTTTTTTTTTTTCTTTCTCTCTTTCTTTCCTTTCTTTCTATCTATCTATCTATCTGTCTATCTATCTAGGATATTTATTTACGACTTTATTTTTAAGTAATCTCTACATCCAACGTGGGACTCGAACCCACAACCCCAAGATCAAGCGTTGCATGCTCTACCAACTGAGCCCGCCAGGTGCTCCTGTGTTTACACTTTATTTTTTTAAAGATTTTATTTATTTATTGACAGAGACACAGCAAGAGAGGGAACACAAGCAGGGGAGTGGGAGAGGGAGAAGCAGGCTTCCCACGGAGCAGGGAGCCCGATGTGGGACTCGATCCCAGGACCCTGGGACCGTGACCTGACCTGAAAGCAGACGCTTAATGACTGAGCCACCCAGGTGCCCCTGTGTTTACATTTTAAAAAGCCTTAAAGAACTGACAAGGTAGTGAGAGGTAGCACGCCCAAGAATCCAAAAGGATTCCACAGCGGTAACCATAACAGAGCCGGCTGCATTTGACAGAGCCTGAAGAAACCCTGAAGCAGTGCTGGCTACCTCGAACAGTCTGGAGATTTGGAGGATAGAAGTGAAAGCTCGGGGTCTGTCCAAGCTGGGACAAGTCAAAGGAGACACTCCAGAGGACTGTGGGGAGTTCTCTGGGCTCGGAGCGGGGCTGGGGGTGGAAGGGTTTTGTCTCTGAAGGGCTGCAGCCCCAGGAAACCTCTGGAGTCAGTTTACAGGGTTCCAAGGTGGCTGGGGCCCAAGCAATCCAGCAGAAGGGAACACAATCCTCACTGGAGGAAGGTTTCTTTATCCTAGATCTTGAGGACTCTCCCCCAAAGAATATTTCAATAGGAATAAGAAGCCCAGACTCCATCTGGGGTCACTGATTTTTCTCCTCTCCCGTGGCTCTTCCTCTGGTCAACCTTTAGTAATTCCCCTGAGGTTCTGAAGGCCTTCATTCGGCAGGAGGGAGATGACAGCCTCGCGCGTGGGCCGGGGGCTGTCACGGGCTCCTGTGGAGCTCATCGGGCAGAGGCTGGAGGCCGGGGGGGCGGGGTGGGGTGGGGTGGGGGTAGCCCTGGCAGAGGGAGCCAGGCAGTCCGGAGCAGGATGCCTGGCGCACCACAGCTCAGCGTGGAGGGCACAGGATGCAGGGAGGGCTCAGTCAGAGGCGCCGCAGGCTCGCGAGCCTGAGGATGTGGGGCAGTCAGGCCCCAGGACAGCAGCAGCCAGGAAGCCAAATGGAACTTGGAGTCTGACCATCGCTGCTGCACCTGTCTGAAGAACAGTTTTAGGCAGCATGTCCTAAGCCATACTCAGTCAGATAGTAACGGAGTGGCTCTTAACCTAGCTGCACATCAGAATCCCCTGGGGAGCTGATTTTTTTTTTTAAGTAGATTCCACACCCAGCATGGAGCCCAATGTGGGGCTTAAACTCACAACCCTGAGATTAAGACCTGAGCTGAGATCAAGAGTTGGACACTCAACCGCTGGAGCCACCCAGGTGCCCCTCCCCTGGGGAGCTTAAAAAAAAAAATCCCAATTGTTTTAGGCAAGAATCATAAACAGATGCCAAAGCTGAGAGTCTGGGGACATGGGATATTTACATAATCTCAGTATTTCCCATAAGAGACTTAATAATTACATAAGGGAAAATGGAACAACCCTGCAGAAACTGGAAAAGCCACCTTCCGACGGGACAGGTCAAGACTGGAGCGGCACCTCTGGCCAGGAGGCTGGAACACTACCGGGCAAGCGCCCCAGCTAACCATCCGCTGTCCAGGGTCCGGAACCGTGGCCTTCGTTTTCTCCTCTGGACAGCTGACGTTCTAACCCGAGCCGTTCAGGCCCTTGGAAAGTTACACCATACCTCTGCCTGCACCAGCCAGGCCGGTCAGAAAACTATCTACCCTAGCTGGAACTCTGGGTGACGGAGTCATCCGCTGTCTGTGGCCAAAGTATCACTGAAGACACCATCCCTTCCGCTGTTGAGAAATGCCTTTTGCACTAAGGTTAGAAAAGATCTGTTCCCATCTGGGAATGGCTACCTGTTTACGGAAAGTGCGATCTTTGATCTTGTTCCCCTTTGATCCTGCCAGTGTGCCAACTCAAGGCCTTTTTTAAAAAAGACCAACTGTTAAATTAAAGAGCAGGGGTTCTTTTCCATTTTCTGCAAAGCAGGAGAATGAAAACCAGCTGGGGGGCAGCCCCTGGCGCACAGGGAAGAGACAACAGCGATGTGTCACGGGCCTCGGGCTAGTTTCTGAGGCTGGCTCTAGGGGCCTCTTCAGTTTCCTGAGGGTTTTAATTGATCTTAGACACGCCTGTGCAGGAGATGCCTCAGGAGCACAGAGACACGTGTTCCCCGCCCTGACCGGGGGCCTCCCCACGCGCGGGGCTGGCCCTTCACACTCTCACACGCTCCCGTACCCAGCACGGTGCCTGGTGCCGACAGGGACTCCGTATCTAGTGATGAATGGATGAACTTTTCAGAGTCAAAAAATGAAATGGCAGCAGAATTGCAAAACGTTGGACCCTGCAATTCTGAAAGGAGCTTATAAATGTTTAACTCCAGGTAGGTCAATGCCAGAGAAGAGCCCACACCAAACTGGTTTCAGAAGCAGTCACTTTGCCAGCAATTAAGCTGGGAAGGGCCGTTTTGCCTTTTACTCTCAAATGTGTGTGTCACTCAAGCTTATGTAAGCCATACTCCAGCGCAGATGAGCACGAAAGGGCCCAACAATGGCCAGGTGACAAATGTGCACACCAGGGGAAGAGGGGGCAGGAAGGATGGGCCGGGAAGCCGGCAGACAACGCCAGCAATCAAAAGGCACGGTGTCTCCTCCCGCCTAAGCCGGCCCCAGTCCAGCACAGGAAGCCCCGTCAGGTCCCTCCATCTAAGCTGCAAAGCCTGGAATCTTCAGCTTCCCCTCTCCCAAATGGCCCCCAATCTTATTTCAGAACCTGCCCTCGAACCCATCCTTGCTTCTCCGTCCCCACTGCCACTGTCCTGGCTCAATTCCATCACCATCTGCCTGGTCTCCTAACTGGCCTTGAATCTCACCCCATCTGCCCTCCACGCAGCAGCCAGGGGTTTTTCTCCTGCTTTACATCTTCGCGGGCTCCCTATGGCCTCCAGGATAAAGTGCAGTTACTGGAAGCCCTCCGAGTCCTGCCTCGCCCTTCCCCAGCCACAAAGGGCCAGTTCTCATTCCCCCAGTGTGCGTGTCCAGCACGCACTCCTCCACGGTCTCTGCCGTGTCCGCCTACGGAGCCCTGCTTCAAGTCTCTCCTCCTCCCTGTGGCTGTCTCAGGCCCCCAGGCACAGTGAGCCCACCTCTGCTGGCCCACCGACTATACTGTCCTGGTCACTGTTTTCTTAGGGTGCCTCTCCTTTCCAGACTGTCTGCCCTTGTAGGCCGGGTCCTCATGTCCCTGTATGGGGACTCCAGCACCAGGCACAGGCTACGTGTCAGCAAAGGTCTGCAAAACCAAGACAACAGCAGGCAAAGAAAATCTGGGACCGTGAGTACAAGGCAGGGTCTTTGAGCACAAGACAGGGTCTGTGAAGGGCCAGATGGGAGGAGAGGAAGATCCTGGAGCCACTGGTAACGCTGAGGGTGCTGACCATCACACATGCAAGGCAGTATTTAAATAGCAGGCCGTGACTCATTAGTCTAGGCTTGTGAGATTAATTTCCAGCATTTAATAAAACAGAACAGAGGACTCCTGGCTGGCTCAGTTGTAAGAGCATGCAACTCTTGATCTCCGGTTGGGAGTTCGAGCCCCACGTCGGGTGTATAGATCACTTAAAAACAAACAAACAAACCCAGACTATATATACAGTAACGGTATAAACTGTACTTCTTGTTCCAATTCTGTGATATATGTGTGTGCTGTGGAAAGGTGATCATTACACCATTCTATTATGGTATTAAAGAATATGGACTCTGGACCTACAGCTGGGCTCCCTGACTTACTAGTTGTTTGACTTTTAGCAGATTATGGAACCCCTTGTGTCTTAGTGTCCTCACCTGTAAAATGGGGGTAATGTCCACCTTGCAGTTGCTCTGAGCATTACGTGAGATAAATACGTAACGTACTTGGAATAGTACCTGGCTCAGTACGGCCACACAGGAGTCCTTATTAGTCGTATTATAAAGATGATGACAAGGTCTTAATATTATGATGAAGCCACAACAGAGAATGTATTTCCTACTATGGGTTATAGTTAAAAGAGTTTGAAAATCACTGGTCTTAGGCACTTTATATACATTATCTCAGGTTATGTTGACAGTTCTGTAGACAGTTATGATCCCTGTTGTAATGATGGGGTAACTGGGTCTCAGCGGGAGCGACTGCTCCAGGTCACCTGATAGTAAAAGGCCGTGCCAGGGTCCGGCCCCCACCTTGCTGCCATCCAGGAAACAGCAGGGCTAGTGGGAAGGGGAGGCCCAAAAGTGGGTTCTAGGGAAAGCGGGGACCCTAATGGACAGCCTGGGGAGCGGGAATCTGCTTATCGGTGGCAGGAAAGGCGGCGGGGGCTGGGGTCTGCAGGTCCCTGCAGCCCAGCACACGGGTGGGTGACAAAGGGGAGGGGACAGTACTCACTTGCACTCAGCCTCCGCATCAGCCTTGGCAGTTGTATAGAGCCCGCGCAGCTTTGTCCGGTAATAAGGAGAGACTGCAAAGTGAGCAGAGGAAGAGGGTGGGCAGGGGGGTGGCTGGCAGTCCTGTGGGGCTGCTTCTGTGCACCCGAGAGGCGTGCAGAGGCCACGGATTGGGACGTGAGCTTCGCTGGCTCAAAGTACCCCCTGAGGCCGTTGCCCCAGGTTTAAGGAGTTCACGTTTTCATATGGTACACATGCCATCACTGCATTTGGCAGAGGACTTTCTAGCCTTTGCCATAGCATGACACACGCAGAAACCACTTCTTAGCACACAGGAGAACAGACAACAGTTCCCAAAGCTGCTTAGAGTTGGAAAGCACTAACCCAGGAGGCTGAGCTGGAGGGCCTTTGGGGCACGTGCAGGGGATGCTGGGAGGGAAGCTCTCTAGAAAACACCAACTAACTGGGGTGCTTGTGCACTCAACGGGGTTCCCCTGGATGCAGCCTTAACACTGACTTCCCAGTCCCTAGAGTTGGGGGATTTTAAGGTTTTTTTAGTGCTAGGTGGTCTGTCATCTGTTTCCTGGGTCACCTTAGGTCACTCAGCCGAAGGGAAAACTGACTAAGAAGCAGTTCGTTTTGGATTACGTAAGACACATGCAAAAGTCCTGTCTGAAACTAGTGATAGCCCTGTTCCCGGTCTCAGCCCACCCCCCTTTCTCCTCCCCTTTCTCTTCTGAGCCCAGTGACTTACTCTTGTTCTCCGTCTGCATCCGCTCATGGGTCTTCTGGATGTTCACTAAGTTGTGTTCACTCCGCGAACGCTCTTCCTGCAGGGGTAAGGTCAACAGGACATGAGAGTGGTCCTTTGTCCTGCCGTGGCCCCCGGCATCCCAGGCCAGAGGCCCCAGAAATACGTATGCCAGTCTCTTCTGACCCCTACTTTTCAGGTTACATCCCACTACAAAGGACATCGTTTGGGAAGGCATTTCCAGGACTGCTCCCTTCCGGGCCACAGGACTGTGTGGTGTATGGCTCCCAAGAGATGGGTCTTTGTGTAACCTGGGTGGGGGCGCCTGGGCGGCTCAGTCGGTTAAGCTCTTGATCTCAGCTCAGGTCTTGATCTCAGGATCATGAGTTCAAGCCCCACGCTGGGCTCCATTTGTAATTTATATTAATGCACTATGACTGCCCTGACCCAAGAACAGATCAAAATAAGACATCCTGAGCTAGAGCTGGCAGAGACAGGACTGTTATTTTGAGTACCATTTGGGGCTCCCCCTAGGTAGGAGGTGGGCCCTGCTATAAGAGAACACACAATGAAAAGCAGTCTCTCAGTACAAGCCTGTGAGCTCAGACAGGGCAACTGGCTTTGTCCCCAGCTGACTCAGAACCCAGAAATAACTGAATCGTGGCCAAGTGGAATAAAGCAAATATCATGAAGTAAAAATACTGTAAAGTAGGGTGCCTGGGTGGCTCAGTTGGTTGGGCGACTGCCTTCGGCTCAGATCATGATCCTGGAGTCCCAGGATCGAGTCCCACATCGGACTCCCTGCTCGGCAGGGAGTCTGCTTCTCCCTCTGACCCTCCCCCCTCTCATGTGCTCTCTTTCTCTCATTCTTTCTCTCAAATAAATAAAAAAATCTTTAAAAAAAAAAAAGAGAAAAAAATACTGTAAAGTAAAAATGTCGTCCATAACAATATCTGGTAAATGGGCAAGGCCAATTCTGTTGGGAGGGCATAACAAATAGCTCTGTAATTCTAACTTGTTCTGTAATGAAACTGAACTCTACCATGACCGTAGTTGAACATGGTGTAACACACTAGCAACGCTAGTAATATTCAGCTGCCCCCCCTGTCAAGAAGTCATCTGCTGATACTGGTACTGATGAGCAAACGTGCTGGGAACCGGGGCCAGATTCTCAGACAGGAACGCTGACGGGAAATGACTGGCCCAAGGAAGAACTTGATTTAGCTCACCATCAGCTAATGTCTATGCTGAACAGTTTCACACAAATTTATAAGGCATGAACAGTACTGCATGAAGGGGGGAAATGGGTAATCAGATTAGTATAAATTATGAAAACGTAGGTACTGGCTCTACGGGACCAACTGCTTGTTTCTTGCAGTCTCTCCCTGGCCCACACCGGCTCCTGCAGTGTCAGGCACAGTGCGTGCTCGGGCAAGCAGCTGCTATACGGACTGGCTACAGAGGCCCCACGATCATTTTGCTGCAAGGGAGTGGAGGCCAAGGGCCGGGCTGGGGGCGGCTGTGCAGTAAAAGATGAACTCAGCAGAGTTCATCTTCAGCAGGCCTGTGTTTTCAGACCCTGCGCCTTCCAGACGAGGCCCCTGACCAGCTCCTGGGAGAGAACCTCTCCACTCTTGGCTTATCCTGCCTGCGAAGTGTATCTTCGTTCAGCTGGATAGGGGGTGGAGGGAAAAGGGGAGGGACCATGATGGGTACAGAGCATTTTTGTCAGATGATGAAAATGTCCTGAAACTGATCGTGGGGATCAGTGGGTGGCACTTGGGTGTCGTGGGTGGCATGACTCTGTGAATATACTAAAAACCACTGGAATCGCATACTTCAAATGGGTGAGCTGTACGGTATGTGAATCCTAGCTCATTAGAGCCGTCATGGAACAGAGAGGATTATGACGTCCTGCCGCTGACAAAAAATCCGCTGTCACGCCCCACATTCTCCTCAGCTCCCGGTTCATCAGTCACGTGGGTCCCTGCGTGTTCAAAGTCTGTGAACGCCCCGTGGCTTGTGTGCTGCCCTCCAGGAGCCAAGGGCTGTGGATTCCTACCTGAGTTTGTTTAATCAGCTGATGGAGCTCCGTGAGAAGTTCTGCGATGCGGGAATCAGCAGACACCAGGGCCATTGTGTCCGGGGTGCCTGGCGTGGAGGCGAACAAAAGGGAACCCTGTTAGGGGCTGTGTGTGTTGAAGCTCAGGGTGTCAAGTAATGACCTCATACCAGAACACATTAAAACTTTAGGAATTTCACATAATTTCTACAACAGTTATAACAGCATTTATCCAAACAACAGACCCAAGGTTTATCATCATCACCACCCCGAAAATGGTCTTTTTAACAGAGAGAAAAGCAGAGTATCAATCTTATGCCAGTGTACTTTTAAAATCCATTTATTTTGGGGCGCCTGGGTGGCCCAGTCAGTTAAGTGTCTGACTTTGGCTCAGGTCATGATCTCAGGGTCCTGGGATTGAGCCCCACAGGGAGTCTGTTTCTCCCTCTCCCTCAAATTAATACAATCTTTTTAAAAAAATTCATTTATTTCAATCTTAGTCCTGACCACATACAAAGTTTTTTTTTTTTAAAGATTTTATTTATTTGAGAGAGAGAATGAGAGAGAGAGAGAGAGAGCATGAGAGGGGGGAGGGTCAGAGGGAGAAGCAGACTCCCTGCCGAGCAGGGAGCCCGATGCGGGGCTCCATCCCAGGACCCCAGGGTCATGACCTGAGCCGAAGGCAGACACTTAACTGACTGAGCCACCCAGGTGTCCCAAGATTGGTTATTTAGAGAGAAAAGGCTTAGGATGAAATCTGAATGAAAAAGTGTTTGCCTGGACACACCTTCTACAACTTTTTCATTCAGATTTCGTCCTAAGCCTTTTCTCTCTAAATAACCAATCTTGGGACACCTGGGTGGCTCAGTCAGTTAAGTGTCTGCCTTCGGCTCAGGTCATGACCCTGGGGTCCTGGGCTCGAGTTCCATATTGGGCTTCCTGCTCAGTGGGGAGCATGCTTCTCCCTCAGCCTGCCACTCCCCCTATTTGTACTCTCTCTCTCTCTGACAAATAAATAAATAAAATCTTAAAAAAAAAAAAGAATTCTGGTGCAGCAGACAGTTCACAATTGGTTACTACTTAATTTTCAGACTAAGGTTTCTAAGTTAAAATTCTGTTAAATGTAATTAAGGCTGATGGAAATGATAAGGAAAGCAACTGTCAGTTTCTCCAAAATAAGAAGCTAGAAGCACAAACCGGTGTTCAGTAAACAATGCTTTAGTATTTTGTTTTGTTAGGGACAAGACTTGGATTGCCAATGAATTCAATCCAATTTATTGTTTAACTTAGCAAATTTTAAAGGTTCAGGTTACTAAAGATTTTGAAAGCCATTTAAAAGTTTTACCTATAAACTTTTTTTTTTTCTTTTAAGTAGGCTCCACGTCCAGCGTGGAGCCCAATGTGAGGCTGGAATTCATGACCGTGAAATCAAGACCTGGGCTGAGATCAAGAGTTGGACACTTAACTGACTGAGCCCCCAGGCGCCCCTACCTAGAAACCTTTTCATTTATTCAAACTACTCGTTCTTAACAATTACCTAGGAAAGGTTTATGAGACGGGTAAAATTAACCACCATTTAAAATCATCTTTTGCTGACAAACTGCAGCAAAGATAACATGAGCTTATCTGACCTTCAGTAAACCTCAGTGAAATTTTACATTTAATGCTGATAGCTCTAAAGATACATCCATTTTAATTAAACTAATAAACCTAAATTAGCTTTACTACAGAATATGTTGCACTCGTGCGCACTAACAGTCAATTTTACTTGGGGCACCAATGGGGAAATCTGAAGGGAGTGGGTTAAGTCCAAGGGAACTCTTGGACCTCTTCATGCTGATTCAGGAGGTGCTTCAGTTGAAACCTCATAAGGAGGTGGCGCCAACAGCTTGGGGTGCTCCTTGCTCCTCCACAGTGAGGGCAGGAGGCACGGAGGTGTCACCAGAGCTGGTTATGTAAGCCTCGCCTAGGGTGGTGCGGAAACAGGAGGAGAGGGAAGGGGTGCTGCCAACAAGGCTGGAGGTGGATAAAAGCCCAAACAGAAAAAAGAGGACTCCAGGTCCTAAAGCTCATCAGCTGAGACAGAAGAACAAATGCACATTTTCTCTCCACCCACAAAAAGTGAAAACAGGCAGTCCGTGTTGGGCCAGAGAATTCAGGGAACCTCTTCGAAACAAAAGGAGTTTCAGCAGCTGCTTGGAATACTCCTTAAAGTCACCGCCCCAAGGTAGACTAACCACAGACAACTGGCAGTTATCATAGCCATCAACCTGGAAAAGAATGAGGGAGAAGCCCCCAAGTGCAAGTCAGGCAACATTCCTCCAGGCCTCTCAAGACACATTTCAGATCTGATGCACAAAGAAGCAAACAAAGAGGGGCGCCTGGGTGGCTCAGTCGATAAGCGTCTGCCTTCAGCTCAGGTCATGATCCCAGGGTCCTGGGATCGAGCCCCGCATGGGGCCCCGCATCGGGCTCCCTGCTCCGCGGGAAGCCTGCTTCTCCCTCTCCCACTCCCCCTGCTTGTGTTCCCTCTCTCGCTGTGTCTCTCTCTGTCAAATAAATAAATACAATCTTTAAAAAAAGAAGCAGCAGCAAATGAAGAAGTGGTAAGTAACTTGGGAAAAAGTGAGGCGTGGATAGGATCTTGGTAGCAATCTGTTGACAGGAAAGCAGGGGGCGGGGCACATACAGAACAGGACCTCTTGGGGTGGCGCTGGCCGGGACCACCCCCTTGGGACTGGATCTTGGATAATGAGGAATTTGATAAACAAAACAGAGGATCTCAGGGGAACAGGGAGGGGAGGGGGAAAATGAAACAACAAGAAACCAGAGAGGGAAACAAACCATAACAGACTCAATCTCGGGAAACAAACTGGGGGTTGCTGGAGTGGAGCGGGGTGGGAGGGATGGGGTGGCTGGGTGATAGACATTGGGGAGGGTGTGTGCTATGGTGAGCGCTGTGCATTGCGTAAGACTGATGATTCATAGAACTGTACCCCTGAAACAAGTAATACATTATATGTTAATAAAAAATAAAAATTAAAAAAAAGGACTGGATCATGGATAAAGCTCATGAGAAAGTTGCCCGGATTTGATAGGATTTCCATACTTTTGTTTCTTCATGTCTCTCATTCGTCCTTACCCATGGGCTGTTTGGCATTTTCGGTCCTGCTCTCAGATTAAGTGGTCCCCTGTCCGGTGAGTGCCCCAACTGCATAAGAGCTCCCACCGGTCCCTTGCAGGAAGCACACGGTCAGATGTATCTTGGATTTTATGCTCATGGAGGGATCACACCAGGTTATTTAGGAGGACACCTCACACGGGAGTTAAGATCGGTGGCCGTCCCGATGACATGCATGGCCATCCTGCGCCCGAGAAGAATACGAGTATTGAAAGAATGGGTAAAACAGGGAGAGCCTGAGCCAACGCCATTATGGCCAACGTACTAGTGGCCAGCCGGCTGGCAAGAGTTTGTCCCTCCCTGGAACGTAGCCACAGGAAAGAGGTTCTTCCCCTGAGTACTTGGACAAGGCACCTTCCAAAGGGTGATACTATTTAGGACATCTCCGAAAAAGAACAGGGTAAGAAACAAAGACTGGGGGTAAAGAAGACTTACCCAGCCACACTGAATCTCCTGAATTCTTTCTGGCCCTGTCCCTGTACAGGTCACCAAAACTTATGTGGGGGTTGTTGAGCACAACGGTCAGGAAAGAATTCTTGAGCCACTGACAGTGCAACTTAGTAAGTTTATTTAAGTAGCACGGGGACAGGACCCATGGGCAGAAAGAACTGCGCTTTGGCTATGTGAGGCTGGTGCTTAATATACTCAGCAAAGGGAAGGAGGCATGCAGGGAATATAAGATTACAAAAGTTTCTTCAAATTTCTTTGAATTTCTAAAACTACTTTTGCAAGATTCCTCTGGTGTTTAACATTCAGTTCAATATTAACTATTGGTGAGATGTGCAGGCAGTCATGAGACCCTTAAAGAATGTAGCAACCAGCACGTATTTGATCCCTATCAAAACTATGCAGGCTTTAGGTTAGCCTTCCCAGCTAAAGGTAAACATTTTCCTACTTCTATCCCTCATCATTTTCTTTCTTTCTTAGGATTTTATTTATTTGAGAGGGAGAGAGGGAGAGAGAGCGCGCACACACGCAGTTGCAGGGGGAGGAGCAGAGGCAGAGGGAGAAGCAGACTCCCTGCTGAGCAGGAAGCCTGACACGGGGGCTTGATCCCAGGACCTGGAGACCACAACCCGAGCCAAAGGCAGATGCCCAACCGATTGAGCCACTCAGGCACCCCTATCCCTCATCATTTTCAATGCAATCCCACCTGACTTCTTTGCAGAAATTAACAAGCTCATCCTAAAATTCATATGGTAATTCAAGGGATCCAGAATAGACAAAACAATCTCAAAAATAAAGAAGTTTTCCCAATTACAAAACGCACTACACAACGCCATAGTAATTAAGAGAGTGAGGTACTGGCTTAAGGATAGATCTAAAGATCTGTGAAACAAAATCGAGAGACCAGAAATAAACCCTCATACCCACAGTCAATTAATTTCCAACCAGGGTGGAAAAGAATCATCTTTCTGACAAATGGTGCTGGGACAACTAGATATCCACATGGAAAAGAATGAATTTGGACCCTGACCTCAGACCATATACAAAAATGATCTGAATAGACAGTTCTCCAAAGAAGATATACAATGGCCAAGAAGCCCATGGAGAGATGCTCAATATCATTAGCCAACCAGGAAATACAAATCAAAACCACCAGGAGGTATCATTTCACACTCACCAGGATGGCTCTAATCAAAAAGAGACATAATAACAAGTGTCGAGGAGGGTGTGAAGAAACACGAATGGACAGGAGTGGTTTCAGTCACACAAAGGAACGTATTACTCAACAGTGAAAGGAGTGAAGGACTCATCCGTGCTTCATTAACACAGATGAACTCTGAAAACCTGATGCTAAGTAGAAGCCACACACAACAGACTACATACTGTGAGTCCATTTAGATGAAATAGCCAGAATTCAAGTCCAAAGTCTTGTTAATTTTGGGTAGATGTACCTCCGCACTC